ACAGATGAGAACATAATATGTCATTGGTGCTACAGGGTTTTTGAAGTATTATGTGTGCCATTATCCTGTGATATATTATGTTCTCATTTGTTTTTCTGTTTTGTTATAGTGCATCGCCTAGTGTACTTTATTTTTAATAATCTATCTTCATCCGAAGTACAAATGTGTATTTCTAGTTATATTGTATTATTGAGTACATTAAGTTGGACTTCAGTATTGATACTTAATCATATTTTCCAAAGTTCAATGTGCCAATGACTTATTGTTTACTTTTTAATGTAAGGTTTAGATGAAACTAAAGATTTTGTGCTGTATTCATTATGTTATATTAAGAATTGTTTTACATCACTTATTAAATTTTAGTACTTTTCATATTGGAATAGCTATCATTCGATCCTGCCAAGGCACAGCCCCAGGGCCATTGAAATAATCCGCCCAATCTTCTCTCAATTGAAGTGGTTCTGCAGCATGGCGGTTTCCACCCTGATGACCTAAGTTCTGCAGGCCATTCCCCATTTCTTCACGCCATCCTCCTCTGTGAATAATACCTGTTAACTCATCCTCCCTATCAAGCATTTCGGGGGGTGAATAGAGCTTCCTTCCCAAAGCATCAGTTCGTAGCAAGTTGTGCAAACATAATATTGCAAGCGTTACTGAACGTGCTGCATCAGGATCATAGCGCATGGCACTTCTTAAAATTTGGAAGCGATTAACAATGAGCCCAAAGGCATTTTCAGAACAACGACGGACCCTTGACAGTCTGAAAAAGTGGGACAGTGGCGTTAAAGCATTTCATAAAATCAACAGTCATTGGTTTTAGTTCTAAAATTGACATGAATTTTTACCTGTAGTTGAATATTCTTCTGGCTTTTGTGCGTTCTCCTCTCAAGTGCTCTTTCGAAAAGGGTATCATGACTCTACTTGAGAGAGTAAAACCTTCATCCCCCACAATTACAAAGGGAAAGTTTTTCTCTGAGCCAGGCAACGGACATGGTGGAGGAATGTTTCCAGAATTTTCCTCCAGATATGTTTTCATGGAACATTTATTCCACACTCCTTTATCTCCAATGCGGCCATTGGTTCCAACATCTACATAGATAAATCTCAGCCCAGCATCCACAATTGCCAGCAAAACTATACTGAACTGACATTTGTAGTTATAATAGGTTGACCCTGATTTGATAGGAGGCTCAATCAGGATGTGCTTCCCATCCATTGCCCCTATGCAATTGTAAAAGTTCCACCGGCTGCCACATTCAAAGGCAATATTTTGCCATTCTTCATGGGATTCAGGAAACCTCAGATATGTACCTTTCAGCACCGTGTACAGAGCCTCGCAAACTTCTTTAATAATACCGGATATGGTACTCTGACCCACTCTGAATTGGAAATGCAGTGATTCCTGAGTTTCTCCTGCAACATTTCATTTTACAAAATTAATATTGTAATACAGGAAAAGAATACAAAACGATATGCCTCAGTTTCACCATAGTCATTCTCACCTGTGGCTAAATGTCGGAGTGTGATTGAGAGACGCTGCTCCACAGATATACTACGCCTCAGATGTGTGTCCTGCTTTTCCACAAGAGGCCTTATCTTGTCAGCAAGCCACTGGAACATTTCTGGACTCATTCGTAAACACCTATAAAAGCATACACATGTGTGTTAATCAATATTCTGTGCAGTCCTGAGAAAGCTACAATAAGGCTTCTTCCACTTAAATTCAATGTGGCTTAACTCCAAATCACAGTCAACTCACTTTCTGTATTTCTCAGGATTTTCTGTACTCAGCTCTAGAAAAAGAGTGTTGTGACAACCGAGTCTATCTCTTCGAGCAATATAGTGATGAATCCACACACTTCTCTCTGGATAACGCTTCCTCAATTCCTCTATTAGTATCAGGCCAAATATAGCAGTAGCCCTTCTCCTTCTATTTAAGTAGTTTATATAATCATTATAGTAGCGATTTACTCGATCCATTTCGTCGAAATTTATCCTTCACTCGACAACTATTTTGTGTTTACCACCATACATGTTTACAAATAGCAGACAGCAATCGGCGCCTTTCCTAACGAAAATAAACGTGTCAACACGTTTAAGTGAGCACTGCAAGGCTGTGCACGCCAACGCCAACCGCAGCGGCAGCGAGCAAGTGTGATTGGCGCAGCGGCCGCCGCCAGCGTCAACGCCAGCGCCAGCGCCGCCGCCAGCGCCAGTGTGATACGGGCTTAAGGATGGCGCAGCCCTCGCGTGACTCGGAGCCCCCCGACCCCTGCTGGCGGGCCCACCCCCGACCCCAGCCGGGGCTCCGCGGCGCTGCACCGGGGGGGGGGGGGGAGTCCCGCCGCGCTGACACTTATGGGCCACGGCCCTCGCGCAGTCGTTGTTCGCCCCGTTTTCGACGTTTTACTGCCCCTGCCCCCGCTAGAGAGCACAGCGTTGTCTGCTTGGTAGGCTGACGCGTTTTACAGCCCCGGCTCTATATCGCTATACATCGCACGCGCGCGCCGACTTTTGCAACACGTTTTATCATCGCGGTGTATATGGGAGCGGCGCGTAGGGCCGCGCGCCACCCTCCCGCCGCGCCCGCCATGGGTGGCCCCGGAGCAACGCCCCTGTTCTACACCTGGAAAATTATTTACTGGTGAAAATTGAAAAGGGCGTTAAGTCCAGAGGAAAGTCCGCGGACTTACGCCCTTTTTACTTTTAACTAGTGCAATATATTATGCTCTCGAATCAAGAAGACATTTCTCTAGGCCAGAGAGAGAGAGGTTGCATTAAATCAAGAGATGTATGTAACTTGAATCAAGAACATGCACAACTCTGGCGCATCCGCTGAAATAATTAGCTTTGGCAACCATCGTGTGGAGATTGGGCTCAAACAGATCAAAGGAGTTCCATAAAATATGGTAGGCAACAATCACTGTGTTGTAGGAAAAAACACGCTTTATTTGGGTTTTCTCAACCATGGTGAATGATTCATCAGCCATATTTTACGTCAAGTTTAGTAAAGTTTGATCATTGCAAGTTAGAACACCTTCAAGGTTCAAGTATTCGACAGTGTGGGAAACACTTGCAAGTGCAAGTGCCTGCTGTGTACCCCTGCCGTGTCAACACCGGTGCGAAGGCGCAGCATTCGTTCTTTCAACCCCGGAGTGGTGCTAGCATGTATTCACACGGTCAGGAGCCACCGTGAAGACACCAGAGCGGCGCACCCCCGACTTGTTTTCCAGTATTATCGAAATAACAATAATAATAAAAAACATTGTTTCGGTTTCTGTACCGGCCGTACAGCAACAATATTCCCGCGGCAGCCGGTCGCTCAGTGCAGCGGCGACGTTTGAATTCACCTCACTGATCTCAAGTAGGGCTGCTAATGAAGCTATAAATCAAGCATATCCTCAGCCCGTTCGCTGGTTCTCTCTCTCCCTCTCTTCCTCTCCAGTCGCTCCCCCCTCCTGTGCTCTCCCGCTTTTCTGATTTAACTTTTGTTGTAAGACGTAGACTCCGCCCTATTGATCCCCGAAGCCCCTCCCCCTCCCCTATATCAAATTATAGAAAACACTTATTTGCTTGTACTATTCTGTTTTCAGGCTCTGAAGTGTGGAACGTGTCCCAATAGTACACGACGTCCCTAACTGAACGGGCCTCTTCACACTTTGATTGTATGCGAAACACTTGGCCAGCTTGTTACCGCACAGTGGGTGTGGTCTTCGTGTAATAAATTACAGTACTCATTAGCCTCCCCGCGAAAAAAGAGAGGGAGAGAGAGAGAATAGAAGGGAGGGAGAGAGAGATAATAATAAAACACCCGCGTTGAAAAGTCACGAGGCGTGACTTTGTGACGCCGGCGGGGTATTTTGCACGCAGATGAGGTATTTCGGCGGGCGTCATGGCGGGGTCTGGATTAACTCCTCATAGGAGGCACCGCCTCTCCGCAGCGCCCACCAAAAAAATTATTATGAGATCAGAGATTATCAAAATAAAAAGTGGCGGTCGTAGGGGGGGCGGGCCGCGCAACACTACAGAACTGTTGTGGAGGGAACATAGCCATATCTACGCACCATGGTGTGATGGTCTTCATCATACGCGGGGGTTTGCGTGGAAACTCGGCCCACCTCGGCCCACCTCGCCCCG